CGTCTGTTTGCAGAGACCGTGAGACCCGGCATTTGTTTATGACACCTGCGCGAGGATATAAGCCGTTTGACCCTAAATAGGACTTCCGGTTTGGCTTAAGTGGAAGAGCAGAATCACCGGGGTGTGGGAGCACAAAACTAGTACAAAAAACATCCTTGCATCACATAGTGATAACTGACGAGCATGTTTATACACAGTCCGTATTTTATGCGCTCATATTTAGTGAACTGGCCAAGACGATCGAATGGATCACAGGAAAATTTAGGAAATTTAAAGGGTCCTGCTACCAAGGAACTAAGGATGGTCTTCATTGACATGGGTTCTAGAGAGTTAAGAGCTTGCTGACATGTAAGATCGGAAGATCTGAAATTCCTATTTTATTATGTATTTTTGTTTCATGTACTCCAAGCCTTTAGGTACAAAGGCAGCAGGCTCTATCGCTAGGAGATAGCTGACTCAATGGTGTATTTTATCAAGAGGACCATGAGGGCACTTATTCTGTCAACGTATAAGACTTTAAGTCAGCGTATTGAAGATGATTTTCCAGGACTATGGTCCAGAAACACAGATTAAAGCGTGAGCGCCTGTGGGCCTTTCATGCTTGAACACAGATTGTGACTTGTGATAACAAAAACACGACTGAATACGACTGAGAGTCTTAATCATGTGCTCAAACAAGAATGCAGGTGTTGACTGTTTACATAAACAGTCTGGTAACATGAGTGGTTGGAGGCCGAAGAGTAGTGCCATCGCAGGCAGTATACTAATCGACCCTATACACGTTGCAAAAATGTGTCAGGGGCTGAAAACATGTGCGTCGGATGTTGTCCTTAAACATCTTGATGCTAGCAAAAAGGCCAAAAGTCGTAGTGAAGGGGTGGAGGCAGGCAGTTTTCAGCTCTTTCGGGATTAATGGCTGCCGTGCATCCCCTGTATATTCCCGATCAAAAACCGACAAGACATAGAGCCCGTGATGCAGTAGTTAGACTATTGGATTTCTAACCAACAAGATCGAACCTCGAGTGGGGCACCAATGTCTGGGGCAACACTTGGGGTGGGTAGGACTAGCTAACGATGGCTAATAAGCCAAAAATGGCCATTATAGTCTCACTTTCCTTTGGCGGTAATGCCCTGCTAGATAGTAAACTGTATAGTCGCAAAAGGTGTGGACTCTCAGCTCGCTCTAATGGGTTGTATATGATTGACTATGAGAAAAGTATTCGCAGTCCTGAGATTACTGAAAATCCCGATCCACAGCTAGTTACCGGTTTACAAAAAATCAGACGTGGTTCTGAAAGACTAATTGCCGTTATTGACTGAAACATACAAGTACCGCAAAGCAATGAAGCCCACAGGGCCCATTGTGGATGAAGGCATTTCAGTGAAATTGTTTCGTAACTTAGACGCCTCCGTCGACCAAATCATAAACGGTACACCTTCTGGTTCCCATGAACAGTCGTCGGCCTACCCTATGGAGGCGGATGAAGACCAAGGGGAGGTCGGCGAAGGTTCGGTGGTTATTCACTGTGTTATGGGGCGAGAGCGCAGTATGTTGCGTCCCCGAGTCGGAGTGGAACAGGCGCAGCCCAGTGACAGGTTGCCTCCCAACGTTCACATCTGCGGCCGGTAGGATTGTGTTATGGGGTCGTGTGAGTGCGCGCGAAGCGCGCCCAACT